CCACCATCCTACTTAGTACTTACTGATATAGGGTGCTTGTACTGCTTTTCACTGGTTTCATGCCAATGTACTTTTGTCTTCCCATCAATACTGTCAGCTTTTTGAAAGCAAGAACCGTGCCATATAATAAGAAGAATAATAATGACAGCCAACATTTATATAGTGCTTACTATGTGCCAGGCATTATACTAAGAATATAATGATAACAACAATAATAATAATGATAGAAATAACATTTATATAGCACTTACTATGAACCAGGCATTGCACTAAGAATATAATGATAATAATAATAATGATAGAGATAACATTTAGTGCTTACTATGTGCTAGGCATTGTGTTAAGCATTTTACAATTATAATAACAATACCAATAATGATGGTGATGATGATGATGACATTGTGCTAAGCATTTTGCAATAATAATAATTTTAATAACAATTGTAATCATTTTAATAATAATGATGATGATAGCAGCTAACATTTCTATAGCACTTACTATTGCCAGGCACTGTGCTAAATGCTTTACAATTATTATCCCATTTGATCCTCACAATATCCTTGGGAGATAGGTTCTATTATTATCCCCACTGGGGCAAACAGAAGTAAAGTGACTTGCCCAGAGTTACACAGTTAGTAAGAGCTTGAATTCGGTTCTTCTTAACTCCAGGCTCAGCGTCTTACACACTGTACCACCTAACTGCCCATACATCTCTGGTCTCCTCTGGAGAAGAAAAATAAATTATAGTAATAGCTCATATTTATTCCATGTTTTAAGCTTTGCAAAGTACTTTATATGTATTATCTCGTTTTGTTACTCTCAACAACTCCAAGGTAGGTGATATTGTGAAACCCATTTTAAAGATGAAAAAAATTGAGTTTCAGAGAAGGTAACTAACTTGCCTGGGGTCACATCACTAGCAAATACTTGACTCTGGAATTGCATCCAAATCCTCCGTTACCCAGCACATTCTGGGCATACAGTAGGAGTGCAGTAATGACTAGATGACTTGATTTTAAGACTGATACATGACTATATTATATCTCTAAATTCTCCAGAATGGCATCTGGATTGCTATTTGTCTACCAATACTTCCTAAGCAGCTAGTTGAGCCTCTGGCAGCACCCTCCTGGCAAGGCTCTGAACTGAAACCTGCCTTTACCTTTCACACGTAATTTAGGGCTAAGACAATCCAAGTCACAGGAACAAGATCACCTTCAGGATATTAGTAAAGCTTCCTGCTGTCATGGAAAAAGCCATTCCCCCATATGCCTGAAGTACCTAAGCCCTGATGGCAGGCAAATGAGATCTTTCTGTTGTGATCCCTGGGTGTCCACTGGTGCCCCACTGGTCTCCCTAGGCCCTGCAGCGACCTTCTTTCTCTGGTGGAAGGAGGCAAAAGGAAAGTGAGATGCAGACAACCTGTTTTCCATAAAATCCTCTTCCACTTCTTTTCATGATCAATTAACTTTACTGTCTTTCTTGTAGAGAAAATAGTCAAGCAGGTTGGGAGACGTTCCTCTGGACTTTCTTTATTTGAATGGCTGACTACATTTTGGAAGTACTAATGTGAAGGCAGCATGGGGTAAAAGAGAGCACTGGTCTTAAGAGTCAGAAGACCTCAGTTCAAGTCCCAGAACTAATACTTACTAGAGGCTAAGCAAGTCACTTACATTTTCCGAGCCTCAGTTTTCTCATCTGAAAAGCTGAGGTAATCTTATTTGCCTACTGCACTGAGTTATCATAAAGAACGTGTTGTATTATATAAACGTGAGCTGTTTGGTTAATTTTGTTCTTATTAACAGAACATTTAAACAGGAATAATAAGAGTGGGTAACCTAAGTCTCTAGAAGAAGAGTGGAAACCAAGTGGTCAAGGGGCTGAGTCATATCTATATGCAAAAACTTCCATGCAGAGTTTCATGCAAAATATACAAATGAAAATGAGTATACATGAACATAGTATCCTGAATAATGTGTTGTATCTATTACTTATGCCTTATTAAGTTAGACTCCTCAGAGGGCTTGATTTCCCCTAAGTGCTAATCTACTGCCTACTCAGCAAGTCACAGATAGAGAAGAGTGAGAATCAAGGAGGGGAAGATACATGTGAGTCCATTTATTTATTAATTTATTTTTGATGAGGCAATTGGGGCTAAGTGACCTGCCCAGGGTCACACAACTAGTAAGTGTGAAGTGCCTGAGACCAGATTTGAACTCGAGTCTTCCTGACTCCAAAGCCGGAGCTTTTTCCACTGTGCCACCTAGCTGCCGTGAGGGGAAGATACTTGTGATGGTCTCATCACCATTCAGAATATGAGGAAATACTGTATCCCTCACTGGGAGCTTGGCTTCATAATCACCAATGGAAGAAGTTGGGGCATTATCTTTACATGAGAGTAACTGAGATATAAGCTTAGACTTCCATGCTGGTCTTGAGACTTGACAGGGAACAAGGACTGGGGTTATCATTTCTTTGGCAACCAGAGCTGGCTTTCCAGATCTCAAAGTTTTACCTTATTTAGTTTAGTGAATATATAAATCCAATGAGGACAGAGGTAGTTTTTCTTTTGTCTTTGTAACCCAGGCACCAAACATAGTACCTTGACCAAAAATGGTACCCAATAAATGCTTGCTAGATTGGATTGGACTGAATTTGGATGATATCAGATTAGGGAGAAATAACTTTGTCCAAGACCTTCCCAGGCTCTGATAAAGTAAACAAATGGAACTAATTCTCAGCCATGCCTTCTACTAGGTAACAATTATGATAGGGAATGCATTGCATACTTTGTCTCATCTGAAACACACACACACACACACACACACACACACACACACACACACACCCCCTGTGAGGTAGGAAGAACAGATATTATCACTCTCATTTCACAGATGAGGTTGAAAGAGGTTGCTACTGTCATCCAGTAAGTATCAGAAATAAGATCAGAATGTAGGCTTCCTGACTCTTAAGTCCAGAGTTGTCCCCACTTGTGACCAGTAGGTCTTTACATTTTGTGCTAGGCAGGTTAAGAACTGGTTTGCCCACTGAAGCCTGATGGGGACATCCCTTCCCCAGCTAGCATGTAGCAATGGAGACTCCTATGTGGTTGGAACACTGTGGTATAAGGAAAAATGGAGCTGGAAAACACAAAGAAAGCCAAACCACTCCCCTCCACCCCCTTGTGTTTTATGAAATGCAAGCCTCATGAAGTAACACACAAAACCCAGAATTCCCTTCCCATTCACCCACAATAAAAACCTTCAGAAATGTTTTAAAACCTGTGTCCCTGTCCTCCACCAAGCCAGTAATACTGCCTTTTTGTACACACTGTACTCGACAGAGCACTCAGAGGGCACACTGCTCCTGGGGACCACAGGCAAAGATTAAAGCCTATTAGCTGGTATTGACTGGACCAAATCAGGGGATATTAGGCAAAATAGATTGGGAATTCAACCTCTAACTGAGCAGTAAAACACTATCATTGGCTAGGCACATAGGATTAAACAAAGAAAGAAAACAGAAAAGAAATGCCTCAGAGTTGCTTGACACATACGGCTAGAAGACAGACACACACACAGGCAGGGAGAATTCTGAGCTACTTGTAAAAATTCTGGCTGTGGAGAAATGAAAGAGCCTCACTATCTAGAGGTGGATTAGGTTAAATCAAAGGAACTCCATTCTACCCATTAGTCAAGGAATATCTGCACATGATTTGCCATGTTAAAATTTCTCAAGCTAAGAATGAAAATGCTTCATTGACAGAAACTAGAGGGAGAACCCCAAATTGCTACAAAATAAAATTCTGATTTTTTTCTATTAGAATTAATTCAGATTAAGTGATAAACGCATTTGCATCATGATGGTCCCTCTGAGTGCATTTCTAAGTCACTTCTCCTCTAACATTCACCATCCCTCAAAGTACCTCCCATGAGGCATATGTTTTCAGGTGAATTTTATGTATTACAGGCCCATCATCATGCTATGGATTTATAAACATAGCTGGAGCTAGGAAAAGACTAGCAACCTTGATTTCTCCTCTTTCATTCATTTCACCAGAACACCTCATGTTCTTTGAGTAGAAGTCTCTGAATCAACTTAGCACACCTGTACCTGAACTTTACAACGTTCTCACCAAGGTTAGGAGAGCAGAGTGAATTCAAGTTTTCCCTAGCCTTCAGAAAACTGTCATCTGAGAGTCCAGCTATTCTAGTCCTCATCTTCCCTTCTTCATCCATAGATTCCTGGGGACATGATTTATGGAGTAGTCTACAGGGGCAGACTGAGAAAATGTGGGATGAGGCCCACAAAGCGGGGAGTGTTCTGGCCCGAGCTGCACGGAGCTGTGTGGTCTCTATGGGGCATCTGAGCCAGTCCTGAAGCTGGCTGCCTTCTCTGTGGGCACACAAACTCCCCAGGACCTAAGCAGGGATGTATTTCCTCTTTGATAGCCAAGCCACTAGTGTGAGACCTCAGGTATCCTGAGGCCTGAGGAGGTAGAGGGTAAAATGACCACTTGAGGTTCCTCCTTTGGGACTGGACGCAGGATGGCTCTGAAATTTCCCAATGTGGCCATGGGGATGAGGGGGTGGGGAATATGACGAGACAGGGAGATGAAACAACATGAAGCAGGGGGACATCCTCGGTTATAGACATGCATCTGCTGCACACACTGCAGTCTCATAACACTAGAAAGAAATCATCTTCTTTGCCCAGAAGCCCAGGCTGATTGACGCCATCCTTAGAGGTATCTCCACAGGACTCATCTTAGCGCAAGGCTAGTAAATAAAACATCACCAGTGGCAAGAAGCAGCATGTTGAGAATACAAACGCAAGCTTTAAGAATTGAAAATGGTGATGGTAAAGGCCATTAGGCTGTTCTGAGACAAAATTTAAATTGTTTCATGAGATAAGCAACTCCAACACAGATAAGTCTGGGAGGGGCAGGGTGGTAGAGTAAGACACTGGGGGAACATAAATTGGTGAGCACCATACTTACGGTGAACTGGGCCTAAAGGGTTTCACCACTTCCAGCTCAGGGTCACTTGAGTTCACAATGGGCTGCAGAGGACTGCTGGAGTTGAGGATGCTGTTGGCATTTGAGGAGACAACAGATTCCAGACTGGAGTTGATGAGGCTGTTTCTTTGCTCTTCTGCAAGGATGGTACAAATTCACAGTTAGTTTACTGTATTAAGACAAATCATTTTAGAATACACACACACACAAAAACCCAAAACCGGAGCAACAGGATCTGAGGGGCTTCTCCTGGTTTTCATGGAATCTAAAAACTGAATATACTCAGTTGAATGATAGAGATAAGGAAGAAAAAGCAAAAAGAAATGGAAAGAAGCCTTGAAACTATCTGGATCTAAGCAAATCCTCTAAGGCAGAGGTAGGG